AATCTACCATATTGCACAATTATTGAAATGACACGTCGGCGTTTAATTGGGGGATGACGTGTCGCTATCGAGCAGAATCAAGGACCACCTCGACCAAAGTCCCACTAAAAGCCAAAATACAACTTTTTGCAAGTAAGACTTTTTCGCCGCTAAGTAAGAATCCATTTGAATACTCGATTTTGGTCAATCGTTCACGTACAATAGACGGTCATGATGTGAATTAATTATTGATTAAAATTCGCTCAAGAAGTGCTAGGAAAGCTGCACAATTTGATAACATAATTACTAACAAGCAAATTCGCCTAACCTCCGAGAATGCTAGGGTTCCACTTGCTTAGTAGTAGCATCTATACCTTGTATCAAGTTTTGTTTAGGCTATGAGAGTAGCTTTGAGGAATACAAAAGTTACATATATGCAATGGAAGTGTATAGGTAGAAATAGAGCTTTAACAAAGCAAGCCGCTTATAAATTTGACTTTATTCATCAAGGCTTGAGTTCTGATTAGTTTTTTTTTTTTTTAATGAACAAATCAAGCTCAAGCCCGTTTAATTAATGAGTCGAGCAGGATTCGATCCTTTAACTTGTAACTAAGGCTCCATAATATGGATTTTTTCATAATTTTTTGAATTTTTATATTAGTTCGACTCGTTAATTTTGATAAATGAGTCAATATCGAGCTCGTTTATCAGTTTGTTAAAAGATCCTCTCGGTAAAGACTCTTGGCTTGATTCATTAAAATCCTTGTGCAACAAATGACTATCATGGACTCATTTGAATGTTAATTAGTGAATAGTTAGATGTTTGACCTGTCAAATGTGTTATTTAACTTGTTTGCTATATAACTTATTTGATAACGCTTTGGCCGAAAAATATTGATATTGAATAAGTTCGATATGGGAGAGTTTTAAAAAGAGGGGATTCATAGACATAGAATAACATGTCAATATAAAGTTCTATAATGACTATAGATACAATATTTACCAAGTAATTATTTACAAATTGCTAATACAATCAATTAATTAAATTAACTACTACAATTCACTATCCGCTATATATTAGCTAACAAGCTACAATATTTACGACATCTGAAATTTTAGCATAGTCAACTAAATTTCTTATTCTTATCCTTTATACTGTCAATTTCTTGTCAAATCTACAATTTCATAATTATACGCTTAGCATCAAACCATACGACAACGAATTACTCTGTATATAATTAAATTTCTAATTATTACATGTGAAGCCATTGGTGTGCGTAGTTCAGGTAAAATATCAAGGCATGGCCTAGTTTAAGGAGTAAATAATATATGGGATTTGACTTTTGAGAGTTAGGTATTGATGTCACATGCATAAAAAGAAGGGGAAAGAAAGGCCTTTATGCCCTAAGAAAATACACGAGCGCTGTCTTTTGAAGCCCACCATCAATTTCTTCTTTCAGAGTCTTTTACACTTTTAATGTTACCAAAAAAAAAAAAAGAGAGGGTCTCGNATATATATATAATTACTAGCTAATAGAATTTAAGAAAACTTATTTAATAAAATCTCTAAAAATCTATATATATATATAATTACTGGCTCATGAGCATTTAATAAAACCTATTAAATTATGGCCCCGTTTGGTAGATAGCGGATTGAAGGTAAATTAGCGGATTGGACTTAATTGAGAGGTTTGACCCGTCAAATCCGCTATTGAGTCTGTTTGGTAAATAGCTTATTTGATAAGCTTTTTGGGCTCAAACCTCTAATTTAAAAAAAACTCATTAGAGGAGCTTTTTGGGGATAGAGGATTCACAAAAAAACTTTTTACTTGGAACTTTTTAATTTGTATTATTTTTTTTAAAATCTATATTGGTTTATGGTGCTAATAAATAATAATATGTCATCCATATGATTAATTTATCTAGAAAAATATAAAATTCATAACTTCTTCATCAAGTTTTAGGCAATATAAAGAAAAAAATAATATATTTATAAATTACCAACTAAAGAATATTAAATATTTTAATATATTATTATTAAAAAAATACACCCTAAATAATAAAATATTCTTATTGGTCATTTTGTAATGTCAAACAGCTATAAGCTTTCAGCTATTTACCAAACACTTATTTAAAAACCGCTAATGCAATCTGCTGGTCAAATCAGCTAATATAATCCGCTATCCACTATCCGTTGATACAATCTGCTATCCGCTATCCGCTATCCGCTGATCGCCAAACAAGGCCTATACCTATGTGACAATATAACTTTTTCCCTCCAAAAACCGTTACTTTTTATTTATTTAACTTCTCATTTAATTATTAGATAATCAACACACTAATCACTTTGAAATTACAAAAATCATTTTAAATTTTTAATTTATTTACAACTGGCCATATAATGTGTTGACTATTTAACGTAATTAGATGTTATTGTTGTGCTTACATTTAAATTAACTTCTTTTGGAAAATAAAAAACGTATTTGAAATTCTTAAATAAACAATAAATAATTCACAAAAAAATACTTACCAAAATATACATTACATCCAATATGATAAACGCAATTTAAAAAAATACATATTCCAGCTCCTTTAATTGTAAATTTGGCCTGCAAAAAAGTGCAAGAAAATTCATTAATCATTATATGCATACAAATAACTCACAATACTTTATTTATATCTGTGCAAATGCACAAGTCGAATACTAGTTTTTCTTCATTTTCGGTTACAAAATTTATCATTAATTTCTTTTACTTCTCGCATTACTACATCCTATTGAGTGTAATCATGTATTTTTCTATTATATTATATAATAACTAATGCTAATACCAATTAATAATACTTCACAATAAATATATATTGCATAATTATAAACAATTGTTTCAAGTTATTTATTTTAACATCAATATTATCTTTTTCTTTTGTAGCTCATGAAAAAATTTCTTTAAAAACAATTAGTTAATTGTTTTAATAGAATAGTCAAACAACTTTATAATCTTATAAACATTTATTTTTGTAATAATAATAATAATCAAACTGCTATTATCTAATGATAATTAACAATTGTTCATAATAATAAACAATTATTAATTTATTTTTTTTAATGATTAAATTTTTAAAATGTAATATGTTCATTATCTAAAATTTTAATATTAAATTCTCAAATATTACTTATTATATTTTATGTACATCTGTGCATGTGCACAGGATATTTACTAATATTATTAATTTAAAGTCTTCACAGATTATATCTTTGCAGATTATATATGATATATCGAGCATATATGTTTGTCAATTTATTAGTGCATACGAAATTTGTCATTTGTTCAACATAAAGAAAAAAATAATTAATTAGTTTTACAAGATTTGGCATGTAATACAATTTTTTTTATATAAAAATTCATTGATTTTATATATTCATATATTTCATAACGTTGATAACATTACTACTAAGAAATATTTAAGAACTTTGTCCCAAGTTTTGCAAATAAATTTCAAAATGAGAATATGATTCTTCAATAATACTACACATAACATAATAAATATAGAGAGAGACAATTTCCCTGAATAGTATATTGTCGGTGAATATTTTCAAGTTTGGACATTTTTGTAAGCTGTAATTAGAGTTGTTCAATTAAACGAGCCGCTCATGTGTTCGGCTCGTTATGGCTGGAGTTCGGCTCATTTAAAGCTCGTTCAGTTAACGAGTCGAGCTCGACTCGACTCGACTCGAAAAGATGATTTCATATATTTTTTTTTTATATTTTGACTCGATGATTCATTAAGGCTCGAGTTCGGATCGTTAATATTGATAAATGAGTTGAACTCGAGCTTGATTATAAAGTCGTTAAGGGTTCGAGCTCGAGCTCGAGCAGCATGAGATCAAAATTGGCTCAACTTGTTTACACCCCTATTTGTAACCAGAATTTGTACAATATCAAATTTCCAAATTGACACGAAATTAATGCTATTACAACCTAATGAGACTGCCTAATCCTATACAGAAACGTGGAAAATAGAGCAATTAGACCAAGTCCTGTTGGTCCATTGCCAAATAAATTAGGAATTGATTCTCATCAAATTAATTTGTCAGTACTACGTACATTCCTGTAATATATAGAAAATATATATTTCTATGCATGGATCATCTTTTGCCCTTTGGTTCTTTATGGAAAACCATTTCTAGCTTAGAGAAAACAATTAATGTCAACATTTCACACATAGATTCTGTTCAGTCTTGGACCATATGGTCAGTCATTAGCTGTAGTATACTCACTGCATATTGCATTAATTCCTTATTTTGGTAGCTGTTTGAAAATTGCAATTCTTTTCATGAGCTTCTGTCTAATCAAATCGTGCTAAAAACTAGAAAGTGGTGCCGTGAAGCAAGTTTATTCTTTAATTGTTATCACCACGGTTTTAGAAAGCAAAAAATGAGTTAAAAAAAAAACATAGTAGCCACTCAACTGATCATGATGATCTTAGTAGAAGACACGTTTTTATTATTT